CCAGGAGGCGGGAGTGCATGCTGCGTAGGCGAGGCAGGGAGGGGTGACCAAGGCGGTGGTGCCACAGGAGAGTGTCGTGCGACAGCTGGCGATACTCACACTGTGTAGCTACCTGAGCAGACGCGTGCAACTGGGGAGACAAAGGGGCGGAGCGTGACGCAGTGGTGAGGGTGTACAGACTGGACCCCGGCGCACGAGCGAACGTGGCCAGGTGGCGACCAGACTGGGAGCACGTGCAAATCGCCACACGCTGCCGGCCAGGGGTGAAGGTGTCAACCCCCGCATCCTGGAGGACAGCGTTACTCACCAAGTTCGTAGAGAACGAGGGGAGGTGGAGACCAGACAGCTCACCAGACGGGACCGCCGGACACGGAAGCACAGTGGAAGACCGTGCAAGCACTGGGCCCCCAGAGGGGTCAGCCAGTGAGACAGGAACAGGTGCAGGGAGGGGAGTGACTGTGGTACTGTCGCGAAAGAAACAGCGGGAAGCACCAGAGTCAAGTGTAAAGGTGTGCAAGGCCTGTGCAGGCGCAGTACCAGGGGGAGCAGACTCACAAGCACCAAGTGCTGCAGGGGCTATACCAGGGACTATACCAGGAGCCGGCGGCACACACAAGTAGCAGTCACCCTCAGCACTAACAGACAATGCATACATAGCAGCAAGAATTGCCTCATAGTCAAGATCAAAGATAGGGACATCACGCCTAAGCAAGTCTGCCCAGTTGGGGAACTCAGGTGCATCAGGAAACTTGGCACGCCAGGCGTCACTAAGTCGAGCGAAGCAGCGCTGCTCAGTGTGAAAACCTGTGCACTGGCGACCAGTGCGGGGACCAGTGCGGATAATATAGGGGCAGCGACCAGGACCCCCAGAAACCCCACGCCTGGCATACCAGTCAAGAAGCTGCTGGGAAGTGGGGGGCTGGCGCTGACGCTGCTGCTGTTGGTGCTGCTGCTGCTGCTGCGGCTGCTGCTGGCCCTGACCACCACTGCCACCACCGCTCCCTCCTCCCCCACCGCCGCTGCTCCCCCCTGCACCGCTCACAGTGCCTCCGCCGCCCCCACCACCACCTCCACCACCTCCACCCCCACTACCACCCCCACCACCTCCACCTCCCCCGCCACCTGCACCACCGCCACCTCCACCGCCACCCCCACCGCCCCTGCCACCCCTGCCGCCCCTGCCGCTGCGACGCTTCCCTCTAGGAGCGGAAGCAGCTCCGACCTCCTCAGCACCAAGGTAGTCGTGAGCAGCAGCTGCGGATGCGTAGGAGGGGGTGAGAGGGGAGGGGGAGCACCCCTCAAAGAGGGGAGAGCGGGGAGTGCCACGAGCAGCACCTACAGCGAGGATGTTCTTCTCTGCTGCGAGGAGGTGCTTCTCGAAGTCGTCGACAGTGAGAGTGGTGGGGTCTAGCGCTAGGAAGTGGTCCCTGACAGAGCTAAGAGTGTCAGGGAGGCGGGTGACGAGGAAATAGAGAGTGAAGTACATCGGGGGGGGGGTTTGCGGCGCAGAACTCGGCTGAAAGAGCGGCACGAAAGCGAGAGTCAGTAGCACGTAGGTGAGAAACTAGGTCCTCAGCAGTGGTGAACGAGGAAAGATCGGGGAACAGGTACGGTAGCATGAGTCGACCTATGGCTGCAGTGGCCGGGGAGGAGTAGCGCGCAACTACAGCGTCGTACAGTGTCTTAGCAGTTCTGTGCTGGCTGAAGTGCGCTCGCTCAGTAATCGGCAGGTGGTTCCTAATAGCTAGGCGTGCAGCAGCATCACGAGTCTGCCACTGGGAGCGTTCTAGAGCAGGAGCATCAGCAGCAGGAGCAACGGCAGTGCCAGAGACGTAATCAAACAGGGAAACGCCCTCTTTGGCATCAGTCAGAAGGAACAGCTGGAGATCGTCCAACCACACAGCGAACTCGAGGGGACGACCGTCAGGCTCAAATGCGAGAACGTTGGGCGTCGCCATATTGGCTTAAGGCAGGAGGCAGCAGGCAGCAGGCAGCAGACAGAGGCAGCAGGCACCAGGTAGGAGGCAGGTGGCAGGCAGGCGGTAGCAGGCAGCAAGCAGGCAGGCGGCAGCAGGCAGGAAGTAGCAGGCAGGCAGCAGGCAGGCAGCAGGCAGGTGGTAGGCAGGCTGCAGCAGGCAGGCAGTAGGCAGCAAGCAGTAGGCAGGCAGCAGGCAGGCAGCAGGCAGGCTGCAGGCAGGCGGCAGGCAGGCTGCAGCAGGCAGGCAGCAGGCAGCACGCAGCAGGCAGGCAGCAGGCAGGCTGCAGGCAGGTGGCAGGCAGGAGCGGCTGCAGCATGCAGCAGGCAGCAGCAGGCAGCAGCAGCAGGCAGGCAGCAGGCAGCAAGCAGCAGGCAGGCAGCAGGTAGGCAGCAGGCAGGCTGCAGGCAGGTGGCAGGCAGGAGCGGCTGCAGCAGGCAGCAGCAGGCAGCAGCAGCAGGCAGCAGCAGCAGGCAGCAGCAGGCAGCAGCAGGCAGCAGCAGCAGGCAGGCAGCAGGCAGCAAGCAGCAGGCAGGCAGCAGGCAGGCAGCAGCAGGCAGCAGGCAGCAGCAGCAGGCAGCAGGCAGCAGTAGGCAGCAGCAGGCAGCAGGCAGCAGGCAGCAGCAGGCAGCAGGCAGGCTGCAGGCAGGTTGCAGGCAGGAGCGGCTGCGGGCAGCAGGCAGCAGCAGCAGCAGGCAGCAGGCAGCAGCAGCAGGCGGCTTGCTGCGCTAAGCTGCAGGCTGCGCGCGTGGCTGCGGGCAGCGCGCGCGACTGCAGGCTGCGTGCGGCGACGGGCTGCGCGGGCTGCGGGCCGCGTGCGGCTCCTGGCTACGCGTGGCGACGAGCTGCGCGCGGCTCCTGGCTGCGCGTGGCGACGGGCTGCGCGCGACTGCGTGGCTGCGCGTGGCGACGGGCCTCGCGCGACTGCGGGCGGCGTGCGGCGGCGGGCTGCTCGGGCGTGGCCTAAACGGGCTGCGCTCGGGCGGCGTAAGTGGCGCGCGGGCGGGGCCTAAACGGGCCGCGCGAGCTGCGGAAGTGGCGCGCGGGCGGGGCCTAAACGGGCCGCGCGAGCTGCGTAAGAGGCATGCGCGGCAAAAAAAAAGGGCCGCGCGCGGGCAGCTGAGGCGCGCGCGGGCAGTAGGCAAGGCAGGTGAGGTGGGCCCTAATCCTAGGTCCTAAGGACCTACGCTCTAGATGCCATATCGAAAGGCTAGGGATGATTCAACTATCGAGAGTGTTGGTACAAGAGAAAAAATCTAAGGGGTTGTACCCCACAGTGAGTACCCCACTACAGCCTATCTAACTTAAACATATAAACATATGTTTGACAATGACGCCGTGTAGTCTTGGACAGATGCCATCTGCGACCAGGCACGCAGCTTCATGCGAGCTTGCTCCGAGGCAGATACATGCTCGAAGCGATCCCGTAAGGCTGCGCCCCACTCCATCCATGTGCGTATCTTGGTCACTCCGAAGATCGACTCTGCCACTTGATTAGTCACTGTTGAGGTCCCGTCTGCCGCATGTGTCACACCTGTCGGGGTCCCCGTTTCTAGGGTTCGGCGCCACCACTCGAGCGCTGCGCCTCGGAGAAGGGAAACGGCATAATTAATGCGCATGGCATCATCGGTCACTCCTGCTGCAGTGAAAAAGACTTCGACTCCAAACAACCACCCTTTCACCGTAATCGTCTTGTCTGTAGGATTAAACGGGGGTGGGTTGGCAGGTTTAATATTGATCGTTGTTACTGCAACTGGTGCTGATGCCGCTCGCTGCCTATCCTCTTCTTCGAAGTCACGTGTGAGCGCGTCCAACGGGTTGCTCACCGCTTGACTGTTGCCCTCGCCTTCATCATCGGGCGACTCCTGACGCGCTTCACCTCGCGCCTGGCGTAGCTCGTTGTTTTCTCCACGTAGTGTTGTCACTTCCGCCATTAATGTCTTCATGCCCTCTTGTATTTCTGCCACTTGCGCCATGAGTCTGTTAATCGCTTCTTGATCCATGTGTCGGGCACTTCGTCGGGTGGGCAAGCGGGTCTCCGTGGCCTTCAGGCAAAGTGGAAAATACGAACTAACGGAGTCGGGCAGGTTTGAATTAACAAACCTTGCGGCCAACCGTCGTGTAGTCCACTTATACCAGCCAACCCGTGCCACCAAACTACCCTCTAAAAAGCGGGGTGAACTAGGAAAGTAGCTCTGATACCAGGTGTTATGAGTTGTAAAAGAGAGTGCGCAGTTTAACGAATAACGAGAAGTGATTGAACAGACTGATTATAAAATGAAGGTACATGCTTATATAGTGAGTAGGCTAGCTGGGAGGGAACTTCGGGTGAGTGAGTTTGGGTGCAGGTTTGGCGAAGAGGAAAACCGAAGGCGACGCGAGGAGGCTCGGCATCGTTGATGTCGGCCAAACGTGCAGAGTCCGAAAATCGGGGCTGTACGCAAAGCAGTCAACCCCGATAAGGAATTCGGGAAAATTCCTTACATGAGGTGCCTTCGGCTCCGCTACTAGCATTTGAAGACTACTCCCCCCCATCCACCCCACCTTTCCCTCACCACAGCACCGCCCATCTCCCCGCACAGTCACCCTGCGCACCCAACTCCCGCTCACAGTGCACCTTCCCGCCGTCCGCCCATCACCTCAACTTGCGCTGCGCACACATACTGCCCCTTTGCCCCACCCGCACTCCGCCCACTTACTATTTATTCCCTTCCCCCTCCCTTTCTTCCCCCGCACCTTGCCCAGCTCTCCTGCTCAGAATACCTGCACCTTCCCCTTCACCTTCACCTCACCTCCCTTGCCCTCCCTGCGCCTGAAACACACATTTGTTCCTCCTGATCCATCACACTACATTTTACTGAAGTAATTTTCCTACTAGAGTCTAGGTCCTTCCTAGGAGCCTAGTACACCTTCGCTGCAAGCGATCTCCAGTTTCCGCGGACCACCTCTCGACGGTTCGCCGCACGTATAAAAATAACAACATAAGAACAGCAGGCTCGGGTTGTGTTGTACGTAGTAGTACGCATGGCGACGGACGGTAGCGTGGGACCCCCGCCACACAGCGAGCATGATCACCTGTTCAAGCTGCTGCTTGTCGGTGATTCAGGCGTAGGCAAGAGTTGCTTGCTTTTAAGATTTACCACCGACACGTTCGACGATCTTTCGCCGACCATCGGTGCGTGCCAATTGACACCTCACCGCTCCTAAATCTGAAGTCGATTGCTACATACAAGCGCCTACCCTATCATACTCATAATGTCGCTACGATCTGAAGAGTGGTTTCGATTTGTCTAGACTGTTCCGCAGTTTTTTTTTTTTTTCTCCGTGACATTGTTGGACATAGTATCGTCGGCTGTTCGTTTCAGCGCCAGTAACAGCTTTCATGTACACTTGACCCTGTCGACCTTTCCAATTTTAGCCGTCACTTGATGTCAACCGTAGCAAGACCACAATGTCACCAGCAGATGGTCTTTCATGTTTTTTTTTGTATGAATGCCGTGGCTCCAATGTCGTCAGATGCACCTCCCTGGTCGTCGCCCAGCCTGTTCCAATTTCTTGCCGTGCTCCCTTTTTCAGGTGTGGACTTCAAACTTAAATCAGTGACCGTCAACGGCAAGCGGATCAAGCTAACAATATGGGACACAGGTGAATAGCGAGACACGACGAGGATGGCCAATTTACCTGCTGGTTGTGCCACCTTACTCCACCATTGGTTCCTATTCTTTTGCATCTGACGTTACACACCTGCACGTATGCGAACTAACTCAGCTTATGCTCACTCTGGTGTCTTTGTTCTTTTTTCAAACTTTCCCTCACCCTCCCTTATTCTCTCCACCCATTTGCCATCAGCCGGTCAGGAGCGATTCCGTACGCTCACAAGCTCGTATTACCGTGGAGCCCAGGGAATTATCCTGGGTGAGTTTTTTTAGGGCAGGTTATTGCACTATTTGTTGTTGCGTGGCAATTTATGCAACTGGTGAGCACCAACGGCGCAGGCGAATGTGTTGTGCAGGCAAATGAATGACTCGGAATGTGGTGAAATTGCGGACGGCAGTGATAGTGGCAATGTGATGAGGACTACAGGCTTAGTTGCACTCCTGCAATTGTAGGATAGGGCATATCTGATCGCGTTTTTATGGTTGCGTTCCACTGTCGCATGGACGCACTGTTTTTTCGCCACTTCCCTTTTTCCAGCCATCCCCTACCTCCGCCTCTCCTTTCCTCCTGACGCCACCTTTTCCCTCCCTCCCCCTTCTTCTGTCCCCTTAGCTTATCGTGTGCATTCCACCCCGCATGCACTCGTCCCCGCGGCATGCCTGTCCCTGCCCGTCCCTGTCGCTGTCCGTGCAGTGTACGACGTGACGCGGCGAGACACGTTCACGAATCTGTCGGACGTGTGGCTCAAGGAGATCGACATGTACTCCACCGTCTCGGACTGCGTCCTCATGCTGGTCGGCAACAAGGTTGATAAGGTATTTTACCTCCTCACTGAACTGTGCATGCTCCTCGTCCCCCTTCCTTCCCCTTTCCTCCCACCCACCCTCCGCCTCCTCCCATCCCCCCCGTCCCCTCCCGCTTTCCCTTTCCACCCCACCCCACCCCGCCCTCCCCACTCCCTCCTCACCTTTCCCCCCTTCCTCCTCCCCCTTTCCTCGCACACCTCGCGCGCATGCCGTACATTTGGTCTCGCAAGTGCCTTCTGCGCTCCTACCGCCTCGTGTCCCAGTGTGTTTGTTCTTCTGCTGGCTGGCGCACTCGTGACCACCATCGTGCTTGCATGCATGCCTGCCTGGCATGCGCACGATGTTGATACCCATAGCTTACGTGCAAGTCCTAATCTCTCCCAAGCTCTGCTCCTCTCCCTTGCTCCCCACCCTACCACACTCCTCCCTCCCCTCTCCCTCCTCCCTCTCCCCACTCCCCCCCCCTCTTCTCCCCCCACCCCACCCCACCTTTCCTCATCCTTCTGCCCCGTATCCCTCTCCTCCCTTGCCATCTCGGCCGCCCCACTCGTCCCTGCCCATGCACCATCCTCTCTCTCTCTCTCTCTCTCTCTCTCTCTCTCTCTCTCTCTCTCTCTCTCTCTCTCTCTCTCTCTCTCGTGTGGCAGGAGTCGGAGCGGCAAGTGGCGAAGGAGGAGGGCATAGCGTTTGCACGGCAGTACGGCTCGCTCTTCCTCGAGTGCTCTGCCAAGACACGTCTCAACGTGCAACAGTGCTTCTCTGAACTAGTACAGAAGGTGAGCTGTGCATTCAGGTAAGAGCCTTACAGCAGGTCAGGTGATCTGTGCAGAAGATGAATAGCACAGAACCTAAGGTACCCAGTCTGGATGGTTACCGTTTATGTGTCCTGCCATCGACCCTTTGCCTTTTTTAATGCCGTGCCGTGGATTGTGCTGTGTATCTGCTCCGTTCCCGCCCCCTCCCCCCAAAACCCCTTGTATCTGTCGGCCACCCCACCCCATTCTCCTTACCCCTGTCTGTCCACCCACTTCCTTCACAACGCCCCCTTCCCCCACTTCCCTTTTATACCTTGGAGCAGATCATAGAGACCCCCTTGCTTGTGGCGCACAACACACGCACCGGGCTTTGAGACATCTCAAGACATACCCTTCCTTTCCCTTACCCCGTTTCCACCCCCCACTTGCGCTGTACGTTCCTCTTGGAGCAGATCATAGAGACGCCCTCGCTGGTGGCGCACAACACGCACGCCACCAAAGTGCTGCGCAACTTGCAAGCAGAGTCTAACCCCGTCTCCGACCCCAGTGGCAGCTGCGGATGCTGATTGCGCGTGCTGATTGTGTACCTGCTGCGTCAGGACAAGCCGTTGCTCGCGCCATGCCCCGCGCACACCACTGCATGTTCTGTGTGTCAGTGCCTTCGGTTTTCCACTTCCATACCGGCCCTTGCTCACTGCCTGCTGTCTTCACTCTTTTTGCTGTTACCGGTACCGTATTCTTCGTCACAGGGAACTTCTGCTTGTAATATGGGATGCTATTTGCTTTCTTTAGGTGCCTCTAGATTGTAGAAGTCACTGTACTGGGAATTGATTCTTCAGTTCTGTAGAAGGTTGACCCACCACCTGTGAAGCTCCAGTTCTGCCAGTTCACCACAGATGATTATTTACTAGCAGGGCAGGGCTATCTTTACAATTGTCTATTAAAACGACACACAGTTTCATCCTGAGGTGCAGCAGGGTCTCACAAGGGCATGGCATAGAGGCTGAACCTGAGTGTGCAAGCGCGATCAGGGTTGGTGACTGTTGCAACCATGTCACCATTCAACATGCATGTAGCTAAGAGATTCTGTGGTGTGGACTGCCATCAGATTTTGGCACTCAAGGAATAAAAAGGAAGCAGGGCATTGGGCATGCGACTACCGTACCAACTTCATGATTTTAGAAAGCTAAGAAATAAATATTCAGAAAACCACGTTTTTTCTCCAAGGTTTAAAGAATTTATCAAACACAAAATATGGTACCAAACAATCAGAACATACATAATACCAGCATGCTACAAGAACTATGGTGAATTTACTTTTCTGCACTAGAATGCATGGCGCCCTAAACCGTCGTGAAACCTACCGTATCTTGGCTAGTTCATAAGCATGGAATACAGGATATCAGACCATGTATCAGGAAGGCCAGGCGTGCACCAATGGGAGCAATCCACCTTCGACCCCTCTCCGCCAAACGTCTGAATGTGCGCGTCGGGGCGAATGAGACTGAGGAGCGTTATATCCAGGATGCTGAATTTCACACTACCGAATTGGGTATTGCTGGTGCCGAAAGACTGAGCCACGGCTCCTGGCTTCTTCTCCATCGCGGTACTCTTTGACGAGGATTTCGACTTGGAAGAAACTGAAGATTTCGAGTTGGAGGAGCTCGAGCTCTGGGAAGAAGACTTTTTGCTGTCACTGCCCGAACCAGACTTGCTCTTAGAGTCAGAGCTCTGGACAACTTTCTTGCTGTCACTGCCCGACCCAGAGCTCTTGGAGGAAGAGGAGTCGGAGCTTTTAGAGGACGAGGAAGACGAGTTCTTGGAAGAAGAACTTGAGGAGGAATCGCTCTTGGAGGACGAGGAAGTCTTTTTGTCCTTGGAAGAACTCGAGGAGGAGGAATCCTTGCTGGAGGAGCTTTTAGAGTCCTTAGATTTTTTTTTCTTATGGTCGTGGTGGCCCCAAAGGATTCTCCTCTCCTCCTCCTCGGCCTCCGCCTCCTCGGTCTCCACCTCCCCACCCGCCACCTCATCGCCTCCCCTCTCCGCCTCCGCTTCTTCCCCCATACCCTCATCCCCCATCTCCATCACATTCCGCCCCTCCGCCGCACTCTTCGAGGTCACCTTCTTTCCGCTTCCGCTTCCACTTCCGCTTCCGCTTTTGCTTCCGTTTCCGCTACCGCTTTTGCTTCCGCTTCCGCCTCCGCTTCCGCTTCCGCTTCCGCTCCCCTTCGCGCCCTTGCCACCAACCGCCGTCACGCCGCTTCCGCCGCTGTTGGTGAACACCGCGAGCTGCTCCTTGACCGCTTCCGCCGCCTCGCTCTTTTCCAGCGCCACCTGAAATTCCTCCTGGGTCATCGGCCGCCACCACCCCGCGCAGTCCTTCCCCGTATCGAAAGAGTCGCTGTAGTGGAACGGCGAGAAGGTGAGCAGCACGGGGGTTCCGCGGAAGTTGGATTTGACGATCGTGTTGCGGACCGTTGTAAGCGCGATCTTCATGGCTGCGAAGCCCGTTAGCCCGCTCTGCTTCACCCCGCCGATGTAGTACTGGCGGAGGCTGTCCGGCGCCTGCGGGGCGCGCGGAGATGGGGAAGGGGAAGGGGAAGGGGAAGGGGATGGAACTGAGTTGAGACAGGAGGGGGTTCAAAAGAGACCGTCTATACCGAGTACGAGAGCGTGTGGTTGTGGAGGACTGGAAACGTGGGTGCGCTTTTGCCAAAATCTTCGCCCAGATTTTGAGGAGCCCAAAAGAAAGTCTGGAAACTGAGAGACTGGGTGCGCTTACATTGACGAACCAGTGACCGGCGTTGAAGATAAAGACGTCGATGTCATCGAGGAGTTTCGCCCAGCTGCTATGCGGCTTGTCAAGATTGATATTCCACACGCCGCTACTGGACGCCTTGCCCTGGGTTGGCGAAACAGGGCGAAAGAAACTGTTACTTGAGAGACGAAGAGAAGAGAAAAGAAATGTGTTTGAGTACCGGGAGGGGAACGCAGCAATGGAAGAAACAGGGACGGGGGGCTGGGAAAGCTGCAACGAAGCACCCAATCCACTGTGCTAATGTTAATAGAGAGGCGCCTCGATTATGAGAATCGACGTCCAGCAGAGAGTAAGTGGCTGGCGATTGTGGGTGTGTGTGGGACGTACAACCGGGGACGCGTCGACAAGGAACGCCGCGGCGATGTGCAGCACCGTGACGTTGTACGCGTCAATAATGAACCCGCTAACGTCCTCCGTGTCCAGGCTCGACGTCATGCGCTGCGTAGGACGCGGGGAGTCGGGGTGGTGGAAAAGGAAAGAACGGATGAGGAGAGCAAGAGGGCATTTCCGACTTATGAAGAGCGGACATTTATGATCTTACGACGACGTATGCACCGATGACCGGGTATGAGGAGGTTGAGTGGACGGGCGAGGGAAGGAACCGTTGCCGTAGATACACGTCGAGCCGCCGCGACTCATCACGCCTTCAAATCGGTTCCGCGCGGTTCTACAAGCGCTCCGGTTCTGCGCAAGAGATGCAGTTGTGCGCGGGCTAGGCGGCTCGGCTCTGCGCGGGCGACGCAGCGAGGTGGAGGTGTTGGGGGGGAGGATGCACTGCAGCGAGCCCTCCAAGTTGCATGGAGCACAACTCGCTTCGAGATGACTCATGTTTTAGTCCACTCAAAGTCCTCGACGCTGGCCGAGAAGAGAATCATCTCGAAGCGACTGGGACTCAATTTTTTTTTTTGGTCCACTCAAGGTTCTCCTCGGGTGACGCACCGAGGTGGAGGAGTTGGAGGAGAGAATGCACTGCAGCGAGTCCTCGAAGTTGGCCGAGAACGAGTCGCCCGCGATTCCGATCACCTTGTTGCGATACTTGCTCAGGAACTTGCCCGAGTCGAACCTGCAGCAGCAGCAGCAGCAGCAGCAGCAGCAGGGACGCCATGAGAAGGAGGCGTAGCGAAGACATGAACGAAGAGACAAGCGCGCAAGACGGAAGATCATGAAGCGAGGGAACAATTTGTAGGTGGGCAGGATATCCTCAGTCATGCTCTGTGAGCTTTCGTGCATTCGTAGCGTACGGCCACAGCGATTTTTCAGGCGGCTCAGAAACCACCTCAGCTATCGTGCGTTCGTAGCGTACGGACATAGCGTAGCGCGGCCGCAATAAGGCACAGGACCCCTAAGCCATGCTCGACGGTAGTGACTGGTGCACCCGTTGTAACTGATAAATGGTGCAAACTCGTGTGAGCCGAGTCGCATGCGGTGAGTTTTCAAGTGCGAGGCGAGCGTCACCTCTGCAGAGTGCATTCGTCGGGCTGCCAGCGCCAGTTGAGGTAGTTGTAATCGCGGCGGCCGTTCTTATAGCAGTTGGCCTGCGACCGAATGGTCTTGCAGCTGTACGCGGAATACGAGGGCTTGGTGTGCGGCGACCGGATCCACCTGGGGGAGCGAGAGCACGGGTTGGGGCGGAGAGGGGACATAGAAATAGCCTTACGATTAAGAAGGGGTTTCAGAAGAGGAGGATGCTCCTCTCTTGCGGCTGTACGCGGAATACGAGGGCTTGGTCTGCGGCGACCGGATCCATCTGAGGAACGAGAGCACGCGGTTGGGAATTGGGGCGGGGAACCAATGGCACGTGGTTAGTTTTTTTTGTGTTACGTTCAGGGATGGGGTTCGGAAGGAGGCAGCTGTTCCTCTGCCTTGCTTCTTCGTAATTAACGATTAGAGGACCCGCTCGGTCACGCGATTCCCGAAATACAGACCCCCTTGAGGCAGCAAGAAAGCCCCTTACACGTAGAACTGATATTGCCCCTAACAATCGTTTAATGGAAAGCAACGCTGCGCTGACCTGCCCTTGGCGTAATTGCAGGCGGCGCCACTGATAGGGTAAGACCCGGCGTCTGCCACTTGCTGCCATGCTAGAGGGAGCACGAGAAGCAGCAGCAGGAGATAGAAGAGGTGGGGCCGACCCATGGTTCGAGCTCCTGCTTTAGCGACGAGAAGTCGAGTGTCTCCTCAAGTGAAAGTACGGTCGTTCCTATGAGTGCTTCTCCTTTCCCAATGAGTGGAGCTGGAGAGTAAGATGAGACGTAGTGGGTGTTGCATGTGAGGTTTATATTTGGTTTTTACTGCGGATTTTTGCATGAGGCGCACAGTGACTGGCGTGCCATGGAGCCCTCGAGTCTGGACTCGGAACGCGTGGGACGAGGGTGATTTCCGCTGCCTGAAGTGTGCAGCGACTCGGTGATGACCGAAATAGAGCGCTATGTCAGTGCCACTGGGCTAAAGCTCTGTTGGGGCTTGGATCGGCACCAGCGCTGAGAAGGGGGATTATGGGTGCCGAGTACCGACATGCGCTCCGAGTAGTGACGGATTCATTAAAGTTCAGAATTACTGTTGACTCGAGCAGCCATGGTAAATGGGGAGCTGCTTTGCGTGAGGCGGTCGCGAACTCGCGGCACGACAAACTAAGGAAAGGAGAGGTGAGCGGGGTCTCCCGTGGCGGAATGTACGGCGACCACGCGGCTGGAGGTGAGTGGCGCGTGTCAGCACATGCCCCCAATTCCACAATTCGTATGGTTGGTTGTTGAGTCGAGCGAGTCTTGAGATCGAACGAGAAGAGAATGGGGAAAGGAGGTGCGTGGGATAAACCAAGACCAGGTCTGTCGAAGTCCCTGGGACCAAAACTTTGAGTCCTGAGCTGCTCGAATTCTGGCCCTGTTTTTTACGGGCGCAGTCCAAATTAAAAACTTGAAATCAGGGCTTCTTAGGAAAGTGTGCTTGTTTCTGATGTAACACAGGAGGATGTTTTCTCTTAGCAGGAAAAAGGTACATACGAACTACTCCTCCACACACCTACATCCTCTACATCGTAGGCAAAAGCACCATAGGAAAAATCATCGGGGAGTGGGGTATGGGGGGAGGCGGGGGGAATTTTGGGGGGGGGGGGGGAATTTTGGGGGTTGTGTCCTTCGAAACAGAAACTGAAGCTTTGACTCAGGGGAAGGCCCAAACGAGGCCCGTAACGGTCACGGGTGCCATGCGGATCTAACACTTTAAACGGTCGAGCTGCTCGAAACGTAGGCCAGAATGTTCAGGGCATTAAGGGAAAATGCCTTTGATTCTACAGCCCTGACCAAGACTTGACAGACCTCACCGCCATGCTGAGTCGCGTTTGACTACAGTTGTCGGCGAACACGGCGAGTTGCACTGCTCTTCGAGATGCGGGTCGCAAAAGGACGAGGCGCACTTGTCTCCAAGTGCTACACGACAGGCACGAACATTTTCTAGGACTCCTTGGAGATAGGCGGTAAAACTCAGTGTCTTGTTAGGAGCTGAACAATTTCTTGGAGGTCCTCTGGGGTTCCCATTACGCGAAGCCATAGACGCCGGAATCGGACGCTTACATAAACTCTGAATTGAAGTGGCAACACCCGTCCAAGTCTCGGACATTGGATCCTTTCTGTTGTATCCGCTCGTTTATTGCAACTTGAGGGCTCGTTTCTCTGCAAAAACGAAATTGTTTCACAGAAATATCCCTCCAGTGTTCAATATTTGTGGGGATCTCACGTCCTGGGTTGTGTGGAAGGGTTCAGGAAGACGTCCGTTTATTGGTGGATGGCTTCTCAATTCACGCGGCTCTGTGGGTCGTGGATTGGTTAGCGAAGCCAGGTTTGCACTCCATTGTGAGGAGTTTATGTATGTTGCGTTGTTGAGTGAATCGGCAAGAAGGAAAAACCTACCACAAAACAGAATTTACTAGTTTATAGGAAAAACGAAGTGCTGTATATCACATCCTATAAATACTTTCATGCATTTGCTATTGCAATGAATATTTTGTTACATACTGTGACAGAATCATTAATAAACAATTAATGTGCTCAATATATTTATTCTTATTAAGTGGTACTCAAATACTCCAAAGGGATTCCTTATTTTAGCTACGCTGGTGTTTCGAGGTAGTGCTGGATCTGCATTTTGGCGGGAAGTCCTTATTGTTCCAAACCTGGTTGTGGTTTGGCGATTCAAAATCTCGAATTCATCCAACCCCAACCTCCCCCATACATCCATCACTGGTTCCCCTAAGTGACGACACACTGACGCAGCTCCGCCCCCTCTTCTTCACCTTCTTCCCCCCCTCTCAACTTCACACTGACCAGACCAGGTGCCCCCTTCACACGCGAAATCGGGCTGATTTAGGAGATCGAGTGCATGTGGAGTGTGAGCAGATCACTCTTTGAGTATCTAGTTGTGCGCAATGCGTGGGGCAGCCCGCCTATTTGAGTGATGTCCCTGACTAGCCATAGTTTTCGTTAGGATTACATATTGATTATCGCAAGTGGGTCTGGCGTACTGAAGTCAGGCAAAATCACCTCTTCGATTTCGCGAAATTCACTTCAGTATCTGCCTGGTCGAATCGACTGTCTCGTTTCCCATGGCTGCCACACTATCGCGTCTCGGCGCGCCGCTCCGCGCACCTTCCGAATCATCCGTTGCCTCTCGCAGCGCCCTCGATGATTACAACCTCCAACCAGCCAGCTCACTTTCGCCCGGCTTCCCCGCCGCCTTTCCCGCTGCCATTCGCACCGCGATTTCCGCGACTGCTGTGCAAAAAAGTTTGATGGGCTGGCAAGGAGGCAAATATGGATCAAGCAAGAGACGGCGATATCCTGCATCGTCCTCACCTTTTCTATCCTTACGGGCCGTGTCGTTGTTGTGGAAATCCTCGTCCGTCTCACCGCCATCTATCTCGCAACGCGTTTTGCGGCACAGAAACGGCTCTCTAAAGGCTCTCCAACAGTCGACACCTTTACCTGATCTGATCATGCAAGCCGATCCGGAATCCGGAATCTGCAATCAGCATAGACTAGATCTGCGTGGTGATCCGGGTAGTACGGCTAACGGGCCTGTTGTTGCATGCTGCGACGACCGCGAGGGATGCGCGGATACTGGCGCGATTTCCGCAAGCGCCGATCGTGCGGCGATCCTCGGTGTCGGAGCGGCTTCCGCGGCGTGGTTCGCGGGGGATGCTTCCGCTCAGGCGTTCACGACCAAAGAGATCGGGCAAGTGGATAAGGTGGCGGAGAATGGGGGAGGAGGGGGAGTGGGCGGAGGGGGAGGCGGGGGCGGAGGGGGAGGGGACGGGGGGGGAAACGGAGGAGAAGGGGGCGAGGGCGGAAGCGAGGGCAACAATTCCGCTGATTTGAAGATCGGATCGCGTGCAGATACAGATAAAGACGCTCAACATGAGGATATGGAGGAGGGGAAGGAGGAGCGGAAGGAGGAGGCGGCGGAGACGGAAGCTGGTAAAGTGGCTTCTGGAAGCGCAAAGAGAAGCCATAAAAATTCATCAGAGTCGTCAAATGCTGAGGCACCTAAGAAATTGGCTTCTGGGACCGCCATGACAAGCCATGCGGAACTATTGGAGGCGATTAGAAGGGAGAGGGACGCGGGGAAGAGGAGCGGGGAAGTGGGGGGTCGATTGCGGAAGGGGAAAGGCAGGGGGAAGCGGAACACTCCCCGAGCGGACGCGACTTACGAGTATATGGGCGATTTGCTACTCGCGTCTCTTACCTCCGCCGCTGCCCCTGGCGCGGGGGCGGTTGGCGCGGGGGGAGTTGGCGCGGGAGCGGGCACTCCGCGGAGCGCGTCGTGGAACATCAGCGGGCGGCGGAGGGGGGAAGACAAGCGCGCGGAGGGCATGATGGACTGGCTGGCGGGGCTGGTGCGCGGAATGACGGCAACGCGCCTGGATTGCATGGACCGCGCGGAGCGGCAGGCGCTGATGGCGGAAACGGCGGAGCTGGTGGTGCAGATGCTGGATAAGCGGGCCGCGGAAGACGGCTTCGCGCACCGCTCGGAGGTACGATACGATTCGATACGATGCGCCGTTGCGCTCTCCAAGACTGGCGCTTGCGCAGTTTTTCAAACCAGGATTCAATTTCCTACGCGCTGCGCTCGATAAGCTCCCTAAACCCCAGACCCCCGCCCGATCCTCACCCCGCTGACCACTCCCGCCCCCACTTGCTTACACACAGTCACTCACAACCGTCTCCCATGCTCCCCCCACCATGCTTTTCCCCCACCACATGCTCCCCCCCCCAATGCTCCCCCCCCTGCTCCCTCCCCCCATGTTCCCTATCCAGGTGAGCGCCCTTCGTCGCTTGCAGCGCGAGGCCTTCCAGGACCTACTAAGAGTTAAAGACCGTCTGCACAAGCTAGAGTACTATACTGGGATTCGTCGCCTGCAGCCCTTTGGCGCCGCCACCGCCTTCCCCGCGTCGCCTCCCTCCGCCTCCGCCGCCTGTAGCGCAGGCTTCGGGGGAAGCGCGGGGGGCGCGGGGATGGACCTGGGCGGGGGTTTCGGGTTTGGGCTGCTGGGGGGAAGCCGCACGCGGATGTACGGGGAGGTGGCGGCGGGTTCCGCGTTCGTGCCCGCGGAGGGGGAGCGCAGCCATTCCGCGCGCGCGGGTCTAGAGCAGGCGGGCATGCGGTCAGGGCTTACTGTTAAACTGCGTCTAGACACGCTCTGCAGGCGTTGGGGCAGTGGCGGTAACAGCAGTAACACCGGTAACAGCGGTAACAGCGGTAACAGCGGTGGCAGTGGCACCTTAAGCGGCAGCAGCAGCAGCAGCAGCAGCAGCAGCAGCGGCGGCGGCGGCAGTGGCAGCGGGAAAAGCGGTGGGGCTGGGTCTTCAGGGGGGTCCGCGCAAGGGAAGAGGAGAGAACCAGAGGACTTACTAGTGACGGAGTTAACGTCTGGTCTAGGCGAGGAGAGCAGCAGCTTCATGTTAGGCGGCCCTGTGAATCTGCACAAGGTGCTCTACTGCGCGGCGCTCTGGGACGGTGTGCGTCTGGCTGTAGCGCCGCTGGGAGCTGTGGGGTCCGATGTAGCAGAGCCGATCAACCCTCTCAAGGTTAGTGTTTTTGGAGGCTCTTTTCCTTGGGAGTGTTTTTTTCGGCGCCTTGTGGAGTTTGTTCGTGGCTATAGTGGTGCTGGAAGCTATGAGGTCGTATGTATCAAAGACCTTCCCCTTCACTGCTTTCCCTCCTCCCTCCCCCTTCACCACTCACCCTCCCCCCTCCCCTCCTCCCCCCTCTTCCTTCCCTCTTCACCTCTTCCCTCCTGTCCTCGCCTCCCTCCCAGGATCAAGGCCTGACGCGCTTCTCATCCGGAGGCCTGCCTCTGCACTGTCGCGCACGGGGCTCCGCCCTCGCGCTCACCCTCCGCTCCTCCCCACGGACTTTCCTTGCCTTTCCCATGGCCCCCGTCCTCTTTCCCCCCCTCCCAGGACCAAGGCCTGACGCGCTTCTCTTCAGGAGGCCTGCCCCTGCACCGTCGCGCCCGGGGCTCAGCCCTGGCGCTCACCCTCCGCTCCGCCTCCGCCTCCTTCTCCCTCGCGCACTTCCTCTCCGGCTGGGGGGTAACGCCTGACCCAGATGGCACCTCCCCCGGCCTCTGCGTCTCCTCTCTCGCGCAGCTGTCTCTCCAGCCACAGGAGAACGTCGTTTTGGCGTTTTCTGCGCTGAATAGAGTGTGGCCTGCTCCCCCTCTTCTGGCGTCAAATGGACTGCATTGGAGTGAGATGGGTCCGTTGGTTCTGCCTAGGGTTAACCCGTTTGGGTGGGGGAGAGAAGGAAGCGCGGTAGGGGATGGGAGCTCAGAGGCGAGTTATGGCAGTGGGGTTGGCGGGTTGGGGGGGAGGGGGCGGGGGAGGGGAGGAGACGAGGGAGAGGAGGGGGAAGGGGGAGGAGGAGCGGGGCAGGAGCTGTGGCTACCCCCTCAGGACGAGCCTGGGACAGCCGTGCAATCAGTGGCAGTGGCAGGTGCGATCCAGATAGGTAAGTCCACTACCGTCGCGGTGTGGGCGCAGGCAGAGAATGGGGATTGTTTGGATGAGGAGGCGAAGAGACGGCTGCAGTGGTCGGTTTCGCTGGCTTACCGGCCATGGCGGGAGGGAGAAGGGGGAGAGGAGGGGGGCGGGCTCGGGGATGGGGTTGGAGAGGGGCTGGGAGGGCAAAGCGGGGAAGGGAGTGTGGGGGAGGGCAGCGGCAGCACCAACAGCAACAGCAACAGCGGCAGCGGTGGCGGCGGCGGCGGCGGCAGCGGTGGTGGCAGCGGTGGTGGCAGCGGTGGTGGCAGCGGTGGTGGCAGCGGTGGTGGCAGCGGTGGTGGCAGCGGCAGGAGCAGGAAGCAGGGGCAATGGTGGGAGAGAGCGATGGTAGGGGCATGTGTGGGGTCCTCCCAACCAGACATATTCTCAGGAGGGATGGAGAAGGAAGATGGAGCAGGGGCGCTGGGTTTGGTGCAAGGAGAGGTGTACGTGCGAGTGCCGTGTGCGCGAGGAGTGGTGCTGCAGCCTGGGGTGGTGGTAGCGCATGGGCCTGAGAGTGGCCTGCACACTGCCTACATGCTCCGGACGTGCTGGGAGCTGTGAGAGTGGGAGAGAGTGAAGGTGGGGATGGTGGGGTGTAGGGGAGCAGCAATGTCGTGCGAATAGGAGTGAGGTCGGGATGCTGTGTTTAAGAAAAGACAGGAGGGAGGACTGTGGGATATGACAAAGGTGGTGTTAAGGAGAGGTTGGGCGATGGAGGGTGAGAGGCAAGAAAGGAGAGGGGGAGCGCATGAAAAGAGGGAAGTGGGGGAGGGGAGGGGGAGGGGTAACGTGGTAACTTGGTAACTACTGACGTAGATCAGAATGTGGGATTTCCTGGTGGGGGCCGAATTAGGTAGGTACTACCATATATTCATGTGTGTGTGGATGATGAACAATGCTTTTATTAGCAATTGTGTGTTTTGGTGTGGGTAGACTGGTTGTGACTTTGGGTTACGTATGTTTTGATAGGTGAGGTGACTGCTGCTGCTTGGCATTGGGATGTATTGTTTTTTGTGTGCTCTTGTGTTGATTGTCTGTTGCTGTACTATGTGCAATGCTAATGAATTTGGGCTCAGGCAATGGTGATAGTGTGAGGGAGAATCAGGCTAGGCGACTTTTGATTCATCTCAAAAGTCACCTTTTGAGTCGACTCAAAAGTCATTTGGGCTCAGGCAATGGTGATAGTGCGAGGGAGAATCAGGCTAGGCTAACTGTTGTGTTGTTTCGTAACAAGTTTGCAAGTCTCTGTGAAGCTGCACCACATTGCGTGGGTTGCTGAAAGCTGCTTGCCTGTAGCCTCGCCTCTGCAGTATTGATTGAATAAGCGGTTTTGATACAAGTGTTCTGAACAAAACACTTCACAAATGTAAAACAGGGTCGAATGGGGAAGATACGGTAAGTGGCCAAAATTGTCCCGCAATCCCAGCATAGCACGGCTTTCGGTGCAAGCAGATCCCTCGAAAGAGTAGAGTACCGGTAGGAGTACTGGTAGGAGTACTGGTAGGAGTACTGGTAGGAGTACTGGTAGGAGTACTGGTAGGAGTACTGGTAGGAGTACTGGTAAGAGTGCTGGTAAGAGTACTGGTAAGAGTACTGGTAGGAGTGCAGAATCAGACTGAAAGAGAACAGACTAAAGGAGAAGATTCCTCTCACTCCCAAACCTTCCCACATCCATTTCAGCCATGTGGCAAAACACACAATATGCCTATACAGAGTGTCGCGCTGAGGTGACGGTTGGGTCTATGTACAGGTAGTACCTAGTAGGAGTGGCAGGTCAAGGCAGGCAGCGTGAAGTGCAAGCCAAGGGAAGAGGAAGCAGAGCAGACAAACAGACAGACACGCACCGCAAAGTGGTGGCCTGATACGGTACGAGGTGCGGTCCGTTACAGATGGTGGTTTGGCAAGGGTGTGGGGCTGAGAGGGGGGAAGGTGGGGCACAGTCGGGCACGGTGTGAAACGGTGGGAAACGGTGGGAGACGGTGGGGCAAGGTGGGTGGCTGAGAGGCGACTGAAGGCAAGGCGTATTGCAAGGTGAACGAGGCACAGCTGCGGAGACAAGGAGGAGCGGGTTGGTGGTGGTGGTGGTGTTGGGAGTGTTATGAAAAAACTTTGAATGGGTTCAGACGGGAGGGGTCTCAGTGCGTAGAAACGGGGTTGAAAGAAGGGGGGAGGGGGGGTGGGGGTGGATTGGATAGGAGAGCGAGCAGCGAGCTTGTGGAAAGGAATGGAACCGAGCTTGTGACTTTTGAGGCGCCTCAAAAGTCGTCTCATTACCCACAATTTGGATAGGAGAGCGAGCAGCGAGCTTGTGGAATGGAACCGGGAATGGAACCAGGAATGGAACCGGTATTGAGTGCATGGAGATGACAGCGCACGTGCAGGTGGATGGGGGGGGTAGGGTGAGGTGAGGTGAGGTGAGGTGAGGTGAGGTGCATTGTTCACAAAGTTCACGTTGCGAAGAAAAGGTACAGGTGAAGGGGGTACAGGTGAAGGGGGTACAGGTGAAGGGGGTGCAGGTCGGTTTTGAGGAATCTAAAACAAACCAGCCCTGTGCTGTGTTTGGGGGCACGATGGGACACAGGGAAGGACAGCAGGCAGTCAGAACTGGGGCAGCGAGGGGGCACTTGAGCTTCTAACTCGGGTTCTGGCACACTGCACTGAATGGCCACGGTTGACAACAGTTGACCACGGTTGACCACGGTTGACCACGGTTGACCACGGTTGACCACGGTTGACGATAGTTGACCGTGACTGACAGTGAGGGAGACAGAAGACACTCAGCTAACTAACGTAGCATTCATTCCTCATATCCCTTCCCCCCTCCCCATCATCCTCCTCATCCTCCTCCTCATCATCGTCCTCCTCTTCCTCTTCCTCCTCCTCATCCCTCTCTTCCCCCTCCTCCAATTCATCCTCTCCTGCCCCCTGCCTACTTCCCTCCTCCTCAGATGCCCCCTCTCTCCTCCCTCCCCCTTCCACTTCTCTCCCTCCTCTCCCACTTCCCGTCACCTCACCATCCCCCTCCTCCCCTTCCCCTTCACCTCCCGCACCCCGCCTCCTCCTCCTCCCCCCTCTCCTCGCACTAACAGCAGCCAGAGCAAGCAAATCTCGGATCGTCAAAAGCCGATCTCTCCCCAGCAAATCCCCATGCTCCTCCCTCAGGTGCATTTGCAGCAACTCTAAATCCTCTGGCCCAATAAGACGAAACCCGCCCCTGCTGCCGCCCGGCTGCTCGCGCCGCCGGCTGTTGCCGGCCATGATCTGGGCGGCGTTGGGCGGCAGCGGCTTCGGGCGGGCGGCGGTGGGCGTCCAGATCTTGACGTTGGATTCGATGCCGCTGGTGGCGAGGACACAGAGGGATGGGTGTGGCTCTAGACAGTTCACCACCTGCGCATGGGTGGGTGGGTTGGTGGTTTGTATGAGTTGACTCGACAGTCACTTCAATACCGCTGGTGGCGACGACGCAGAGGGATGGGTGCGGCTCTAAGCAGTTCACCACCTGCGCATGGGGGTGGCGGGGGTCGGTGGGAAGAGGGGTGGGCGGGTGGGTGGGTTGGTCTTTTTAGCCGACTCAACGGTCACTTCGATTCCACTGGTGGCGAGCACACAGAGGGATGGGTGCGACTCTAGGCAGTTCAACACCTGAGCATGGGGGGTTGGGTAGGTGGGTCGTTTTTTTTGTCGACTCTAAAGTCACTCTGATTTTGCTGGTGGCGAGCACGCCGAGGGATGGGTGCGGTTCTAGACAGTTCACCACCTGGACACCGGGGGGCGGATGGTTGATAGTTGGTGGGTGGTTGGTGAGTTGCGGGAAATGTGTGCGAGAAATTGGTGTGAAAAAACCCACCCTCCCAACCCACCCACTCACTGGCCCGCCCAGCTTCCCCCACCCCCCTCGTGCTCTGCTCTTCCCCCACCCCCCTCGTGCTCTTCCCTCACCCCCTGGTGCTCCCCTCTCACCTGCCGATCGCCCGGCAGCATGGCAACGAGTTTGCCGCCCGCTTTGCGCCAGATGTAGATATGCCCGCAGTCCGACCCGCTGACCACGTACTCATTGCGCAACCCAAAGAAGTTCACCCCCTTCACCGTCTGCTCGTTCCGGTGCCCTGTATACACCTGTATCCCCTCCAACTGCTCCCCTCCTCCTCCTGCCCCTGCTTCGCCCCCATCGTCATCTCCCTCCTCCTCCTCCCCCTCCTCCTCGTCTTCTCCACCCATTTGCAAATCGGGATCCTCCTCCTCGTCATCCTCCTCTACCTCTCCCTCCTCTACCTCTCCCTCCTCTACCTCACCCTCCTCCTTCTCCTTTCCCTCTCGCGCTTCTGCACTGCTGTTTCTGTTCCGGCATGCTCGCAGCGTTCCCCTGCTGCTCCCCCGGCCCCCTCTTGCTACCACCCCGTTTCTGTGTGTGGAAAGCAGGCCCACTCTTTCCTCCTCCTCTTCCTCTGCCTTCTCTACCTGTGCCTCCCCCCCAAGCACTGCCCTATCCACCCCCCTCCCTCTTTCCTCCCCTCCTCTCCCCCTTTCCACATCACCACTCTCCCCTTCCCCCTTATGCCCCCCCTGCCCCTCCTCCCCTCTCTCACCCCCTTCCCTCCCTTCACTCCCACCAGTACCAACTCGCCTTCTAGAATTCAACCCACCACACGCCTCTTCCCTCTCCCCCTCTTCCTCCCCTCTCCTCCCTCCTCCACTCAACCTCCTCCTCCTTCTCTGCCCCTGCCCGCCCTCCTCCCCTCCCTCCCCTTCACCCCCTTCTTTCTCACCACTCCCACTCTCCCCACCACCAACCCTCCCCTCTCCCCTCCCTCTCCCCACCCTCTCCCGTCCCCCTCCCCTCGCCCTCCCACTCCCACCCACTCCTTCCCCCTCCCCTTCTCCTCCTCCCACCCCCTTCACTCTGTTCCTACGCCTAGCAGCAGCAGGGGCAGAGAGGGGGTCGGAGCCGAGGCCATGGTGGGGGAGGAAGAGGTAGATGAGCTCGTCGTTATACGAGGCTAGCAGCTCGTCACTCGTTGAGAAGGCCACACACGTGATGTGCACCTGGCGAGGGAAAAGACGGGAAGCAGGGGAAGGGGAGCACGGGGACAGGGGAGGTGAGGGAGTACTGTAGATGAGCTCGTCGTTATACGAGGCTAGCAGCTCGTCGCTGGTTGAGAATGCCACACACGTGATGTGCACCTGGCGAGGGAAGGCGAGGGGGAAGGATGTAGGTAGGGGGCGATTTAGAATACTTGGTGACTTTTGAGTCGACTCAAAAGGGGGAAGTATGTAGGTAGGGGGCGATTTAAAATACTTGGTTCCCAAGATGTGGCAGAATGTTAAAGTCCTGAGCCATCCCAATATTTGTATCTTGGGCAAGACCTAATTGCGTGTGTAGTGAAAGTGGTGGTCTGGTGTAGATGTGTGGAGAGAGAGGAGGGGCAGCAATGCACACAACTCTTCGTACTGTGGGGGAGATATAGTCGCGTGTATTGGGAATAAGGTGGCCCGATGCAAACGTGGAGCGAGAGGAGGGGCAGCAATGCAAGGGTGGGTGGGTGGGATGGGATGGGCAACACCTTGTCTCATCTCAACCGTGAGTGGTGAGTGAGTAGAACCATTTCAGAGCTAGTACTGCTCGTACTGTGGGGGAGATATAGTCGCGCGTGTTGTGAATGAGATGGTCCGGTGCGAATGTGTCCAGAGGGCGGTCAGAGGGCGGCAGAGAGGAAGCTTCCACAGGCATCAACCTGCCGTGGGGGAGGGGATGGGTGGGGAGAGCGGGGTAGGGGAGGGGGCGAGTGGGGGAGTGGAAGGGGAGAGCAAGGGATGGGGAGAGCGGGGTATTAAGGGAGGGGAATGAAGTAAAACAGAGGAGGAAGCAGAAACGAAAAATGGAGGAAACTTGAGGAATGAAAGAGAGCGGCTTTTATAAGGAGGCGGGGAGGGGGAGAGAGGGGAGGAAGGGTAGGGAGGGTAGAGAGGGGAGGGATGGGAGGGAGGGTAGGGGAAAGAGAGGAGAAGGGGAGGAAAGGAAGGGGAGGAAAGAAAAGGGAGCGGAGAAATCAGGAGCGATGTGGATCAATCAATAAGGGAAGAAAAGAACAAGAAAAGACCTAACTCATGGAATAAGACACGGGGGGGCAAGGGTTGGTGCATGTACCCCCCCCTAAAACACACTGAATACCCCCCACACACTCCACTGCCCCAGTCCCCCACCACTCACCCCACTCCCCACATTCCTCCCCACATTCCTCCCCAGTTCACTCTCTCTTCTCCACCTACAGACGCAGCAAAGAGTTGAGGGCGCCCTCCTCCCAAATCCATGAAAATGGCGTTCAGCCTCAGAACCATACCCAGTTGGCTTTTGAGTCGGCTCAAAAGTTACGGGCGCAGGGAACTCATGGCAATGGCGTTCAGCCCAAGAACCATACCCCCTCCCTCTTCCCAAATCCCACACCCTCCCCCCCGCCCTCTCTCCAATTTCCCTCCCCTCCCCGCTCCCCCCCTGCCTCCCGTTACCCTCCCCATTTCCCCACCTGCGGATGTCATAAAGGCGGGCAAATTCGTCGGCCCCACCCACGGCAAAGAGGTGTGGGCGCAGGGGGTTGACGACAATGGCGTTGAGCCCGAGGGCGCGCTGCGAACGCATGAGCTCACACGTGAGGAGCTTCGTGGATGGGCGGTCCTGACGTAGGTCGAACTGGAGAAGGGGAAGAGGAAGGAAGAGAGCACATGAGGTGATACGTGAGGAGCTAAGTGGAGCGGCAGTCCTGACGCAGGTCGAACTGCCATGGCACGAGGAGGGGGGAGAGGGGGAGATGAGGGTGGGGACAGCGGGGAGGTGAGAAGCGGGGACAACAGGGGGGTATTGTGTGGTGAAGGGGGGAGAGAGGGGATGAGGTTGGGGAGAGCGGGGGATGAGAGGCGGGGACAGCAGGGGGATGAGGGGTGGGGCGTGGGGAAGGGGAGGAAACGGGCAATCGAGTGGATGAAGGGAGGAGAGAGGGGGGCGGAAGGGAGAGAAATGAGAGGAGGGGAAAGGGGAAATAGGACAGAAAGGGAGGGGTAGGAGGGGAAGGGGGGAAGCAAAAAACCTCCAGACATACACCACTCACATCCCATCCTATCGTTGCATTTGCAATCTGTAGCACATTTATACAGCCACACTTTTTCCCTCCCCCCCCGCTCCTCTCACCCCCTCCCCTCCGCTCCTGTCCTCTACCCTCCCCTTCCCCTCCCCCTGCACAAACCTCTACCCTCCTCCACGCCACGTCACAGGACCCTCTTCCCTGTCCCCCCTTCCCTGCTCTCACATACATGTCGCACGACTCCGTCCTCCCCACAGCTGAGGAAGCAGTGCAGCGTGGTGGGGTGGTTTCCACAGCCAGCTTGTGCGCCCTAGCACCCACAAACCTCTACATCTCCCCCCCCCCCCCCCACCCCTTCCTCCCTACCCTCCCCTATTCTCTCCCCCTCACGTACATGTCGCACGATGCCATCCTCCCCGCAGCTGAGGAAGCAGTGCGGCGTGGTGGGGTCCACAGCCAGCTTGTGCGCTCGCCCCCTGTGCCGCGCCAGACGCTTTGTGTCCACACTGCCGCCCTCTCGCAGAATGCTGCACCGCACCTGGTGGGGGGAGAGGGGGAGAGGGGCACAGGGGAGGAGGGGTACAGTGTGAGGGGCGAATTATGGAAAACAGATTTTGAGGCGACTCAGAAGGCGCTTGTCCGTAACAAAACACAGCTGTCCATTTCGGGAAAAAGAAGAAGAAGAAAAAAAAACCCACACATTCCCATTCTCCCGTTGCACCTCCCTCCCCCATCCCGTGCTCCCAACCCCCCCTTCCCCCACAGCTCCCGCCAACCCATTATCCAACCACGCACCCCCCCATTCAACCCATCTGCCCACCTACCCACCCACCCACGCACGCACCCTTCCACCCTCCCGCCCACCCACCTGTCCGCCCACCCACCTGGCCATCAGCAGCGCAGGAGACAACCGTCTTGTTCCCCGTGTGCGGCAGTGCGCGCGCCTGGAACACGTTGTTCTCGTGCCCCGACCGCCAGCGCAGGCGCTGCAGCGCGCGCGGCCAGTCCCACAACACGATGCTCCAGTCGTCGGACCCCGACAGCAGCAGGTCGCCGCACGGCGTGAAGCTCACCGTGTTCACGCACCCGTGATGCCCCTCCAACCGCGCTGCTAGCTCCAGACGGGAAACTAGGTGCTGGGGGAACGAGGGGAATGGGGCGGGGGGGGGGAAGGGCAACGGGAACGGGAAGAGGGGAGGGAACGGGGGAAAGGAGTGAGGTTGCATGGAAAGCGTTTCAGAAGTCGTCGGACCCCGACAGCAGCAGGTCTCCGCACGGCGTGAAACTCATCGTGTTCACGCACCCGTGATGCCCCTCCAACCGCGCTGCCAGCTCCAAACGTGAGACTAGGTGCTGAAGGCACAGGGAAGATTCGATGTTTCTTCGTTTCTGTTCTGTTCTGTTCTGTTCTTTTTTGTTTTGTTTTGTTATTTTTTCCGGACAGGAAGGAAGAGCAGAGGAGTGGAGTGGAGCAATGAGCGGACGGGGTAGTTAAGCGGAGAACGCGGAAAAGAGAAGGGTTGCGAGGGGAGACGAGTAGAGCGCGGGTTAGTGAAGGGGAGGAGAGATGGGCGGGAGGGGGAAAGTTGTGGGAGGAGGACGGCAGGCGAAGACTGGGAAAACTACGTTGCGGGGAAGACGTGGGGGTGCGCAAGGGGAAGGACGGTAGCAGAAAAAGATGGAAATTTCGGATTCCCAACCGCAAGGCGCACGCTCACCTCGTTCCCCGCGCCAGCGCGCATATACGCCAGCGGCGACCGGCGCCCCTCCTCCCTCCGCCATAGCTCCCTGTGCCCGCACGTGTAGAATGGCGGCGGGCCCGCGCTTTTCCCGCCCGCCCACCGCCGCGTGAACCGGCCGGCAGGTGGGGTGGCGAGACCGTCGCGCACCGTCGACCCGTCCCGCTCCATTTTTGTTTTTCCCCCTTAAGCTTCAGCTCACTCACCCCAGCGCTGCTCAAATCCACTCTCTGGAATTCGTTCCCTGAAATCGCCGCTTCTCAAAAATCACTCCCCGACCTTCGACTTTTTGAGCCTCGTTTCTCAATTTTGTATCAGAATCTGATTCTCAAGTTCACGAGCCCCACCAGGTAGCCTCAATGTTAACGGTCAACTCTCCACTCCCGCCACCGCCTGTTCCCGTGCCAATCCTTGTGGCGCCTCAAAAAAGAGTCGCTGTAGCCTCAATGTTAACGGTCAACTCTCCATTCCCGCCACCGCCCGTTTCCGTGCCAATCCTGCTGCGTCGACAGAGTGATAGCGCTATGCCACTACCTGTCGGGATAGAGTCGGCGCTCGCTACAGCAGCATTCGTTTAACGCAGAAAAACGAATCAACGAAGCCGCCTTGTTCCTAGTCTTCTTCGAGCTAATTAATAGTTTTCTTCTTTGTTTATCCCGCGTCTTGAAAACCCGAAAGATGTTAAAGGAGCCGCTTGTAGCAGTATTACTACGACAAGGGAGACGAGGCAAAGCGCTAGTAACAATGTTTTTGTGAGGTAACTAAAACAAATTACTTGGGACGTGGTCAAGCGTATAGAGAACGCTTGGAACTGAACAAAGCACCGAGTGAAGATATAGCTGAGCGAAACGAAACAATTGATGCACACGCATAGGCGCAACCGACGATTTTCTAGCTACCCCTACCACCTATGCCTCCACTATCATAGGCCTCCTTAATTAAGTCATACCATTCAGCGAGTTTGCGTGCAAAAGGCGCGTCTTATGAACTGCACTCTTCTTCATAAGCTAAACTCGCGGAAGGACGACACAGAGCAGTAACAAGCCGTAGCAGCAGAAATCCTAAATTCAGGAGATTCTCAGGGGAAAAAGGGTGCTTTGTTAGAGAGAACTCGCAATGCAAGCCACAAACAGACATTGTCAGGAAGAATGTGGGGTCTCGTGAACAGACATGCGAGAGAGGAGGAATTCCCAAGGCTTTCTGCATGCTGGTATGTTGTGGCGGCGGGCAGAACCTGAGAAACTCTGACATGCCCGCGCAAATGGTCTGGCGGAAGGTAAGGCGGGGGTTGATATGGATGAAATGGGATGATGTAAACTGGGTTGGGTTTGTTAGGGATCGTTTTGAAGTGGTTTAAAGGGAAAGGTGGCAAAGTAGGCTGGTTCATGGCATTTTGGCAACAGCCGTAAGAACGCGTTCAAATTGACGTAGGCAGCCCGAAACATGAATGCGCTGAGGTTTGGTTTGGTGAGGCTCGCAGCGGTGCATGGTGATTGGTCACGCTCGTGCGACAACGCGGCGAATGATGATTTTGAGGGTGAAGGATATTAGGTGGTGAGCTGTACAATACGTCAGTTTGGGCTTAGACAGATTCATGCCATAGTACTGAATGATACACTGATGCCTCCGTATCGAGCAGTTTTATATTTCTTCAAACCTTTGGAATGACTGCAAGGCAGTACGATGGTGCCCTTACCAGGGCACCAAATGCCTTCATTATACGGTAGCATTTGGTAACAAGACCTAGAGTGTGATCTCTGGGTAGTGCAATCACCAGCACCAGTGCAATCACCAACACCACGCTGCAGTTTCCTAAGAAAAAGAGGCTATTTTTTTTAGGTAAGACTCGACCATCACCTAAGGTGGTTTAGCTTTTGTCGACTCTATGATGTCAAGTGAAAGCCACTTGTGCAGACCTCCTGGCTTGCCTTGCTCCTCTTGTTGCTGCTGGTTGTGAATCGTACCCTCTTTTCGCTCGTGGTGATGCGGTGGAGAGGGATCCACTAGGGTGCCTGGGGGGTCAAGGGGCGGAGCATCTGGTTGAATCTGAACAAATGGCACAAAACGGCGGGGAAAGGGCGGGGGGGAGAGGGAAAAGAGTGGTGGTGTAAGCACTCCAGCATCACTGGTATCTGATGAAAAGAAACGAAACCAAGACCAAGGGAGGGAGGGAGGGAAGGGAGAAAAGAGAGCACAATTTTAGAAAACCAGAGCAATTAACTAGAGCAAGCATTGAGCAGGAACGGTTTCTGAGTATATCACGCACCTCTCGTAATCTCGCCCTGTCCCCTCCCGCCCCCTTCCCCCCCCGCCCTTCTCCCTCTCTCTCCCCCTCTCCCTCTCGCTCCCCCTCTCCCTCACCGGATCCTCTATGCTGGTCGCTTGGCGCCCAACCCCAGAGTCACTGGCTGCTGCAGCAGCACAGGGAACCGAGCTACTCCCGGTGCCTAAACCCTTCGGTCCTCCTCAGCTTCAGTAGTTACAGTAGCTGCACCAGACGCTGATGCAGCAGCAGTCGTGGCAGATGCAGCAACTGTGGAAGGAACCGAACTGCTGCTGGTGGTGGTGGTGGTGGTCGTCGTGCCCTTCTGCCTGTCATCTGCTTCACTTGCGACAGCTGAACGATTCTGAGAAACCGAAGCAGCACTGGTGTTGCGAGCAGGAGAAACTGGCGCAGGAGGGGAGTCTGACTTTGCTGCTGCCGTTGATGCTGCTGCTGCTGCTGCTGCTGCTGCTGCTGCTGCTGCTGGTGGTGCTGCTGCTGCTGCTCCTGTTGCAGCTCCTGCTGCTGCTGCTGCTGCTGCTGATAATCCTGCTGCTGCTGCTTCTTGCTGCTTGTCAAGCTCTGGGGACACACTCCCTTTCACCTCATATTCCATATCCTCCCCTTCCTCTGTCCCATCCCCTCTCTTCCCCTCTCCTGCCCCTTTCTCACTCTCTTCCACCCTCCCCTTCTGCTGCTGCTGCTGCTGCTGCTGCTGCTGCTCCTCCTCCTTCCCCCCAGCACTCAAATGAGCTTTCTCATTCCTCTCACGCTCCTCAGGCTGGAAGGGAAGGTAGCCCGCTTGCCCCTGACTGGGGGTCTTGGGAACGAGCATACGAGGCGGCGGGGGAGGCATGAGCGATTTCGAGCAACCGGGGGGAAAAGATGAAGTGTTATTACCTGCAGCACCACTACCAGAAGCTGCAGCAGCGGCGGTGGCGGCAGCAGTAGCGGCGGCGGTGGTGGAAGCAGCGCCAGAGGCAGCAAAAGCAGGGACAGCTGGCCGCGGAGAAGCAGGCTCTCTAAACCCCTTGGAACCCTTCTCTCTCTCAACAGATGATGCGATTGATGCAGCAGCTTCAGTATTGGCACTGGTCGGTGGTGTTACGCCCCCTGTTACAAGGGCGGATGCTGAGGCAGAGTGGGCTGGGAGAGAAGGAACCGCAAACCCACCCAGGGTGGATCCAGCAGCATCAGTGGTACCACTACCAGCGGGGCCAAGAAGGGAACCATAACCAGGCATAGAGGCAGCACCAGTACCAGCAGCAGCAGCAGTGGCGGCGGCGGCAGGATGGGAAGGAGCGAAAACCCCTGTTGCCAGTGTGTTTGCAGCAGCGGAGGAGGAGGAAGAAGCACGGGAGCAATCCGGAATGCTCTGCAGGAAATGGAAGAGGGAGCGGGACTGCGGGGTAGCAGGAGAGGCCAGCAGGGCCCTATCAAACGCAGTGAGGTCTCTCACAGCAGCACCGGGGCTATACGGAATGGGGTACGAGGGAGTGAAAGGGACGGGGTATGATGGAGTGAACGGGACAGGGATGGACGAGGGAGTGAAGGGCGGCGGGGGGAGGAAGTTGGGGGACGGGAGGAAGGCCGGGCCGGCTAGATCGCTGCTTTCGCTGCTGAAGTCCCAAAATTGGTTGTCGCTCCCCCAGGGGCTTCTGGGAGAGAAGGACGGTACAGGGGGCGCACCCAACCCCTGCCCTGCTGCTCCTGCCGCTGCTGTGGTTGCTGCTGCTGCCGCTGCCGCTCCTGCTGCGGTTCCTCCTCCCTCTTCTCCTCCCCCATCACCACCAGGAACCGCCACTCCTCCTCCTCCTGCTCCTGCCCCTCCTCCTGCTCCTGCTCCCGCAAGGTCCAAGGGCAGCAGGGGCATCGATCGGCCAGTGGAACCGCGGCTACCAGGCGCAGGGGCAGGAGGGGGCTCGTCTGCAGCAGCGGTGTCTGTGGGTATGACCACAGACAGCACTCGGAAGGCCGACGGGCGTCTCTTGAGTGTCGGTGTGCTCGTGGTAGTCTCGCCTGTACCTGTTGATGCTGCTCCTCCGCTTCCTCCTGTTGCTGCTGCCCCTGCGCTCCCTGCTGCTGCTGCTCCTCCGCTCGCTGTTGCTGCTGCTCGTGGTATTGTTAAGCTCGGCCCATGAGCTGCCCCTGCTGCTACTGCTGCCGCCGTTACTGCTCTTGCTGCCGCTCCTCCTCCCCCATCTGCCCCCATACTCCCACTGGCTTCTGAAGCTTCTCCAGAGATTGAACTAGTAGCAGCAGCAGCAGCAGCAGCAGCAGCAGTTGTCACAGCAGCTGTAGCAGGCACAGGAGCCGCTACAGCTTCATCTGGCAGGCACGGGGAGGGCATGAGCGAGAGGGAACTCCCATCCTCAAAACCTATGCTGCCTCTCCGCCCCATCCCATTCCCTGCTTCCCCCAACACACCACCACCAGCACTGCCACCACTGCCACCATTAGCAGCAGCTGCAGCAGCAGCGACGGCAGAGGCAGAGGCGTCTGCAGCAGCAGGAAATCCCACCTTCTCGCGGCCATACCGATTATTCCCCCTAATAGGCATATCATCGAATCTAAAGCGCCCACCACATGCCCTAAGCGCAGAGGAGGAGGGGGAGGCGAGTTCAAGATAAAGCGACGGGGGAGGGGAGGGGGAATGGGGGAAGGGAGCAGACGGATCGTCGTTGTCGGGAAGGGGAGGGGGAGGGTAGAAGGTGGATGGGACAGGAAGTAGCTGGGTTGAAAGGTCATCCTGTTCCATCTGCTGCTGCTCTAGCCGCTGCTGCTCCAGCTGCTGCTGCTGCTGCTGTTGCTGTCGATGGTTTTGAGTGAGGCGAGAGGAAGGAGGAAGGGAAGAGGGCGGAAGCATGGCGGTTGGTTGGGAAGAGAGCGAAGAGTGCAGAGAGGAGGAGAGGAGGGAGGACGAGGGAGCAACGAGGGAGGCAGCCAAGCCAGCAGCAGCAGCAGCCACAGCAGCCGCAGCAGCAGAAGCAGCAGAAGCAGCAGCAGGAGCAGGAGGAGGAGGAGGAGGAGGATTGGAGGAGGGGAGGTAAGAGCGCTGACGGCGCGAAGAACCGACGAGAGAGGAGGCAAGGAAAGCGGGCGGCGGCACATGACCCTTGAGAGGAGACGCAGAAGCTGCGTTGCTGCTAGCCACAGCTTTTGCAGTACCGCTACCCACCGTTCCTAACCCATCTTCTGCTAGGCTACCAGCCGCAGAACTACCAGCAACACCTGCTGCATCCCCTGCAGCAGCACCACCAGCACCAGCGGCACCACCACCACCACTGCTTTCCCCGCCTCCATCAATAGCATCTTCTAGACGAGCCAAGAGGCGGGATAGCAGCGACGGGGGCAGCAGCCGCACCAGCTGCTCTAGCTCCCTCTGAGAGAACGGCAGAGGGGGAGAGGCGTCAGCAGGGGAAGGTGGGCTGGAGGAAGAGGGGCAGGGAGCAGAGACAGAGACAACTGCTTCGCCAGAAAGAGGGGAAACGGCAGGGATGGGTGAGACAGGGGATGTGGATGGATGGGGGTTGTGGGGAGGGGAGGAGAGGGAGTGGGAGCGTGGGTGCGAGTGGGGGTGGGAGGAGGCGGGTAGGGGGTGACGTCCGAACGAGCTGGTGTGAGGTGCTGCTTCTGCTGCTGCTACTGGTGCTGCTGCTGGTGCTGCTGGTGCTGCTGCTGGTGCTGCTGGTGCTGCTGCTGCTGCTGCTGGTGCTGCTGCTGCTGCTGGTGCAGAGGAGTTTAGAGCAGAAGCAGCAGCTGCAACAGCTGAAGAGAGGGACTGGCCGGAAGACACTTGTTTGAGTGCACGAAGCAGCTGCAGCACTGCATTAGCTGATTCCGCCACACCCTGCTGCTGCTGCTGCTGCTGCTGCTGGGAACCAGACGAGCTTGCATCCTCTCGCCCCCTCCCATTCTCCCCACTCCATTGCTCCCGCTGCTGTTGCTGCTGCAGCTGCTGCTGCTGCCACTGCTCCTCCTGTTGCTGCTGTTGCTGCTGCTGCTGCCGCAGTTGCAGATTTGCAGAACGCTGCAGCAGCAGCCTGTTCACATGCCACCGCAGCTGCAGCTGCTGCTGTGCCATTGCCTCGCTCTCACTCTCACAAGCATCAGAGGCAGAGATAGCGCCTCCCCGTCCCCCTCCTAACCCTTGTCCGTCTTCACCCTCCACATCCATCCACTCCATCCCCACCTCCTGCAGCAGCTGCTGCTGCTGCTGTTGCTGCTGCTGCTGCTGATTCTGCTGCTGACGGCGCTGCTGCTGGTTCTGCTGCTGCTGCTGGTGCTGCTGCAGCAGTTTGAGTCGAACAGACACTGGTAGCTGCTGAAGCAGAAGGTGTAGGTCTTTGCGCTCCAGGGACAACCCACCACCACCGCCACTACCACCACCAGTACCACCAGCAGCACCACCAGTACCAGCAGCAGCAGCAGCAGCAGCAGCAGCAGCAGCAGCAGCAGCAGCAGCAGCAGCAGCAGCAGCACCACCACCACCACTACTGGCACTGGCAGGAGCAGCAGCCGCTACCTTTCCAGCCAGCAGCTTGAGCAACAAACTCGCATCCAGCCTTCCTTGCCCGTTCCCCAACTCCTCACCCCCTTCGCCCCCTCCTCCTCCCCCGCCCCCGCCCTTCTCTCTACCCTCCGACCCGCCTCTCCCTAACAACTCCGTCCTTACTGCATCCGCATCTGCATATCCACCTCCCTTACCCTCAGCACTTGCCCTTGACACATCAGCACTCCCATCACCCATGCCCTTCGTATGCATATAGGCACCCACACCACTCCCAACACCCACACCACTCCCAACACCCACACCACTCCCAACACCCACACCACTCCCAACACCCACACCACTCCCAACACCCACACCACTCCCACCACCCACACCACTCCCAACACCCACACCACTCCCAACACCCACACCACTCCCACCACCCACACCACCCACACCACTCCCACCACCCACACCACCCACACCACCCCCACCACCAACACCACCACCAGCGCCAGCCTTACTCTCATAATCCGCACTCCCACCCGAACCTCCCACATTCCATGCTGCTACCCCTGCTCGGCCCGTACTACCCAGCCCCCATCCCGCTGCTACCCCTGAACCTTGCCCTTCCTTTTGCCTCTCCCCCTTCCTCCCCGCCTGCGCCTCCCCCTCCCTCTCCGGCTTTACAATAACTCCCCCCTCTGCCTTCACGCAACCACCCTCTGTCTCGTCCCTTTCAGATTTAACAGCACCGAGAGCGTTACCAACAGACCCCTGCAAACCGGTTGCCATCCCTGCCAACCGCTTGGACAGTGTTTCGTGTCCCTTGCCCTGCGCCCATGCTTCATTATTCTCTACCATTCCCCTGCCAGTTCCCCCGCCCGTTCCCGTAGCAGCAGCAGCAGCAGATAAGGAGGTAGCAACAGCAGTCGCTGCTGCTGCTGCTGCTGCTGCTGCTGCTGCTGCTGCTGCTGCTGTCCCTACTCCTTGTGCTGCTGATAGCTGCGTTGCATTCGCAGCAGCAAGAGTAGACGATGCCAAAGACGAAGGAGGAGGATGGGAAGGAGCAGCGCGCGTGGCAGCAGAGGACGACGCAGGGAGCTGGGGCGCGGGAAGGAGCGAGAGCGGAGGGGGGGAGGCGCGGGGGAGAGACGACGCAGCAGCAGCAGGGGAATGGAGCTTGGGAGCTAGGAGGGGGGAGGCGGACAGGGGGGTGGAGGAGTGGGGGGTGGCGGTAAGGGGGGAGGCGGAGAGGGGGGAGGCGGCGAGAGAGTCCTTGAGCACCTTGTGCAGACGCACGGGGGAACTCCCGGGGGGAGGTCCGCGCTTCACGCGCTGCTTGGGCGGCTGGTCTGTAGTGGCGCATGCGGGGGAAGGGGGAGAGAGAGAGGGGGGGAAGGAGAACGGGGGAAGGAAGGAGGATGAGAAGAAGGACGGCAGAGAGGCTTACATGCGGTGGCGAGGGATGAAGAGGGATGAAGAGGTGAGGAGAGGTGAAAGAGGGAGGGAGATAAAGGGATGAAGGGGACTGGCAAGAAAAGCACGGCAATGCATCGCGAACCTTAGAGTAGCAGATCTGGGGAGAGAGAGAGGACCTGGGGAGAGAGAGAGGACCTGGGGAGAGAGAGGGGACCTGGGGAGAGAGAGAGGACCTGGGGAGAGAGAGAGGACCTGGGGAGAGAGAGAGGACCTGGGGAGAGAGAGAGGACCTGGGGAGAGAGAGAGGACCTGGGGAGAGAGAGAGGACCTGGGGAGAGAGAGAGGACCTGGGGAGAGAGAGAGGACCTGGGGAGAGAGAGAGGACCTGGGGAGAGAGAGAGGACCTGGGGAGAGAGAGAGGACCTGGGGAGAGAGAGAGGACCTGGGGAGAGAGAGAGGGCCTGGGGAGAGAGAGAGGGCCTGGGGAGAGAGAGAGGACCTGGGGAGAGAGAGAGGACCTGGGGAGAGAGAGAGGACCTGGGGAGAGAGAGAGGACCTGGGGAGAGAGAGAGGACCTGGGGAGAGAGAGGACCTGGGGAGAGAGAGAGGGACTGGGGAGAGAGAGAGGGCCTGGGGAGAGAGCAGAACTTGGGAGAGAGAGCCAAGCTAGGCGGAGAGCGGAAGCGGACCTGGGGAGATGGAGGAGAGGGGTCGGTGCGAGTCGGGGTCGATGCCCTGCTCCTTGAGGCGGCGCTTCATCTTGGTGTTCCAGTGGTTCTTTATGTCGTTGTCCGTGCGCCCTGGTAGCTCCAGGGCAATCTTCGCCCACCTGCACAGCGGACCACCAAGGAAACAGCGGGACGCGCACGTGCAGGGGCGGGGGGGCGTGTGGAGCGGGGACAGGGGGAGGCGGGTTCAACACAACGGAGAGCGAGAGGGCGGAGGGCGGAGGGGGAGAAGGGGGGAGATTTCGTAAAAGCAGAGGAGTATTTGCAAAAGAGGTTCTCCTCGTCGTCGTCAGCCGGGATCGCCCCTCGCTCACCAACCCATCTCAATCCTCCCCCCTTTCCCCATCCCCCCCCCTTCCCCCACCACCACCCACCCACATATTCCCCCACGCGGCGTGCATGCGGATAATAAGGTCCTCACCAACCCTTCTTCCCTTCTCCCCCACCCCCCCGCCCCCTTCCCCCACCCCTTCCATCACCACCCACCGCACCTGTTCCCCCACGCGGCGTGCAGGCGGATGATCAGGTCCTCCTCGTCGTCAGAAAACGCCCTCAGCTTCTCCCCCCCCACCCCACCCCAATCCTTCCCCGCTTCCCCACACCCTCCTTCCCACCCACCTGTTCCCCCACCACCGCCCACCGCACCTGTTCCCCCACGCGGCGTGCAGGCGAATGATCAGGTCCTCCTCGTCGTCTGAAAACGCCCCTCGCTTCAGATCCGGGCGCAGATAGTTCGCCCACCGCAGCCGACAGCTCTTGCCGCACCGCCGCAGGCCTGCACGCGGAGAGGGGGAAGGGGGGGAAGGTGGGGGAAAAGGTGGGGGGAAAGGTGGGGGGTGGGGGGTAAGACTGTGGATAGGATGCGGAGGAACGATCCGCGCGCATATAGTTCGCCCATCGCAGCCGATAGCTTTTGCCGCAGCGCCGCAGGCTTGCATGGGGAGAAGGGGCGGCGGGGAAGAGGGGGGAGGGGGGAAAAGGGGGTCTGTGTGGGAGGACGAGAAGGGATGTGGGCGGAAGGTCCGGCGCAGGTAGTTCGCCCATCGCAGCCGAAGCTCTTGCGGCACCGCCGCAGGCCTGGACGGGAGAAAGGGATGGAGCGCATGAGAGAGGGAGCGCATGAGAGAGGGAGTGCGTGAGAGAAGTGGGTGGAGAGCACTTCTCTCGAGGAGGGCGGATAAGCATTCTCAAAAAAGAAAAAGAAAATGAGGAAAGAGAAGTAGAAAGAAAAGGGAAACGACGGAAAAAAGGCGCGAAATTCTATCACTGAGACGGACTGAAAAAGGGGCGCGTGATTCGCAATCCCGCCTGACCTGCGCGCTTGGGGATGGAACTCCAGTTGCCGTCTCCGTATTGCTGAATACACTTCAGCAATAGCTCGTCCTCCTCCGCCGTCCACTGCCCCTTGCGCAACTCCCCGCCGTCCGCCCCGTCCCCCGCATCTCCGCCATCCCCGCCGTCCTCCGCGCCCCCGTGCGCTCCCCCCATATCCTCGTCCTCCTCCGCCTGCTGCTCCTCCGGCCCCTCCCGCCCCTTTTGCGGCGCTTCCACGCGCCACTGCGCCTTGCCCTTCCCCCCCTCGCGCCCCTCTTCCCGCCGAACTGCGCCCACGTTATCCCCGCGCCCGTGCCCGTGCCCGTCGTCGCCGCCAGACGCGCAAATCGCGGCGGAATCAGAGGCTACGGTTGGTCGAGAAACGGCCGGTCTCGACGCGCCCCACTGCGCACCGCGAGCGCGATCAAGACCCGCGGAGGTAGTCGCCGTCGCCGCACTGCCTCCCGCCATGGATCAATTTCCGCTGCCGGTGCCGGTGCCGCTGTTGCCGCTGCTCCTGCTGCCGCTGTTGCTGCTGCTGCTGCAGCACGATCCCTCTAGATCCTTAGCGGTTACTGCAACGGGAAAGTCAGCACCCCGGTCTTGTTTCCTGTCCTTTTTTTTCCAAAAGAAATGAGTTGCGCGAGGAGAAGAAAGGAATGTTGCGGGGAGAGTCGTGGTACCGTCCTCGCGTCCAGAGAGTCGCGTACGGTCAGTCGCTTACGGTCAGTCGTACGGCCAGTCGCGTACGGTCAGTCGCTTAAGGTCAGTCGTACGGTTAGACAGTCTCGAACGTTCAGTTCCTATGAGAACATAACGGACCGCAGATAATCGCCTTCTTCCTTTGACTTATCAGCGGGATCAGTTCTTGACATAGAGGAAAAACAGGTTGTGAGGTAAGTCAGACGACGAAATTGGCGGGAGCATCGCGAAGTGCGAAACAAGTTTCATCTGGCGGATACTATCATCCAGAATCATCCAGCAGGTAAACTGTCGGAAGAACTGTTAAACTCCACGGTTGTCGACACGCGGTAAACTCGCGAGCCAGTTCACGCATCCATGCAAACGATTCGCGATTCTTGACATGTAAGAACGGTTGTCAGAAGTTCCTAGTGGCTTCTGGCGTCGATGCCGAGAACCTAGCGAAAAAAAATCACCAAGAACCTGCGGCTCCCGTGAGTTAGTGAACATCTGTGATGCTCACAGAGAGCGAGAAAACAAATGGCTCCTCAGGTGATCCTTCTCATACATATCCTGCACTGCAGCACTTCATGGCGCGAAAGCGAAGCAGCACCACACGAATTTGCAAAAAACCACCAAATTATTCCAGCATTGTAGGGCTCTGTTCCGTGTGTGTGGCTGCTGCTGCAAGCCCTTGGGAGCATCATCAAGAAAGGATGTGTGGGTTGGAAGCAGCGCAGCGGCGGAAGACAATAGGGGTTTGCCATAATGTTTTAGCGTGGTATTCGGGCTCTTCAATATGTCTTGATCTGGTTTTGTGCGGTTTGAAGGGTTTCCAGAATATATGAGAGAGCTGGGGAAATGGGAGAAGGCGGAAGGGGGAAGCAGAGGCGGAGGTGGTACTCGAGAGTCGAGAGATGGAAGGGAGGGGAAGGGAGGCGGGCGGGAAGAAAACAAGCTGGGGAGGTTGCCTCCCTACGGGCAAAAGTAGGCTAGCGGGAGCTTAGCGGCGGGCGGGAGGTGGGGTGCAGGCGGGGGAAAAGTGGGTTTGCTCACATCAGGGCCCCTATAATTGATGGGCGGAAAACAGTAGGGCAGCGGAGCAGAGGCATGGCATGGCTTTGGAGGTCGGACAAAGAAGCTGCGGTCAGGGCAAAGAAACCATGACGAGCAGGACATTTCTTCAAACGATTGCTCTAGGTTTTCCCGGGCAAGCACAATATGTTTTCACTAAGGGGGTGCTGCGCCGTACAAATTACATCGAGGAGGTTGCGATTGGCGGAAAACAAGGTCGGAACATCATACTTCCGTCGAGAAGCTTTTCGAAACCTCCGTGACAGATGCGAAAATGTGGCTGGAGGTTATGCTCAGAAAACTAAATAATACAAAGAAACCTAGAGGCCATTTGGGCAATGAAATAACACGGCAATGAAATAATAAGGCTATGAAATGCCTTTCTAGGTACATCCGTAGCAACAACACTGCCCTCCCAATTCAGCGGTTTTTATACGCCACTGATATGAAACATTTAACCACCTCAAGTTGCTGAGTGTAAATGTACGGTATTGTCTGAATTCTCAATACATCCAACATCAGGTCTGCCACATGAAGCCAACACCAAGGCAGAACCAACAGACTCCACTATTCAGCAACACTTCACCAGCTACTGTGACTAACCAGCCATTTACGCTGCAGCCTCTGTGTCTGCTGCCTTTGCATCAGCAGCAGCAACTGAGTCCTTGAAATCCTCAGCAACCTCCTGCACATACGTGCTCAGAGACTGAAGGTCCCGGCCACCAGAGTACTTCTCCTTCCCCTCTCCCTTCACAAACACCTTGAGGGTGGGATAGCCACGAATCTGCCATACCATGCCAGAAGGAGCCCAGCCCAACAAACAGAAATTGCACATCAGACAATTATGTAAATTGGAAGCCTAAGACCATAGACCAGCATGTGCTGCATTGCAGCATTGTTACAATCAGGGCACTATCCATGCCTGGAGTACCAGTGAGAAAAAAGTCACAGCACTGCTTTTCCAGTCTGAACATAGTTACTGGAGATCAGGTCAGGAAGGACCATTCTCTCTATACCTTGTCTGGTCAATAACTAGAGGGACAAGGGAATCAGCACGCTGACGAAGCAGTGCACGCGTGCATGCTCACCTCCTGCTACAGAAGTTTCAGAATTCTCAAAAAGGGCTCACATCCTGCTACACATCTTTGAGAATTCTCACGAAGAGCTCACCTCCTGCTCCTCGCACACGCTGCGCGAGGCCGTGCAGTCCACGTGCGCGATCACCACCTCCGGCGCCACCTTCGCCGAAGCAAGCTCCGCCCATGTCGGCGCCAGGCGCTTGCTGAGGCAGATCGGCGGACGGACCGGCGACCGGCGGACGGACGGGCGGAGGGGAAGAGAGGGATTGAGAGGGGGGAGGGGGTGGGGTGGGGGGGGGAGGGGGGGGAGAGGATAGGAACTGGAAGTGAGCGAGCCGGGTAAGGGGAACAAGGAGGACGCGGTTTGAGAGTTAGCAATGCGAGGAACGCGTAACAATATGGTTTTCGATGACGGATCGAGAGACCAGATATTGTGGCATGAGGGGAGGGAATGGCGGGTGCGTGGTTGACAGGACGGGGGGGAAGTAGAAGAGGAACGGACCAGTGACCACACCACGGTGCGAAGAATTTGATAAAGTATGCCTTCGAGTGATCGTCGATCTGCAACAAATACGAAACCGCGGCAGAAAATAAAAATAAAAATCGTGTGAGCCTGTCGGGGCGGAAGAGGGAAAAGGCACGCAGAGAGAACTGGGAACCACCGAACGGTAAGGCAAAGAGAGGGAGAAAAAAATGCGGGGACTTTCACGCAGCTATGGGGTTGAGGAAAGCCGGAAGAAAGGTGGAAGGAAGTTGCGTTGAAGCTGGATCTCACGGTAGATTTGAAATTATTATCGTCGAGAACGAGCACGTCCTGTGCTGCGACCTCGGCTAACGCAACGCCGAGAAGCGACAGAGCGACGAGGATGAACACGGCCGCGCGAGCCATGGCTGCCGCTAAGGACAAGCTTGAAAGCGAGAGACAGAGAGACTGGTTTCGCTGCCTCCTGATGAAGGGATTCTGTTATGCTTGTTGAAAAATACGGCAAGCAAGTAAGGAGGGTGGGTGGATGGGTGCAAGACGGAATGGAGGATCACTCTCGAATTTCTTGTGGCACACACAATCGCAGAGCAACAGTTGTTCCAGTAAGGTTCGGTTCGTTTTACTTTCTGTGCGGTTTCGAGCTAGCTACGCACGGCTTTAGGGGTTGCAGTGCGGTACCACAACGTAAAGAATACCAGAATGCTGGATCCGTGACTCGGGTAGGACTCGATCTGCGAGGGTGCACTTCACTTCACCTACAGCCCGCCCGATCTCAAGGCAACAAGCTGACAACGCTATTGCCTACCTCGCGAAAGTAACGAGATGTTCAAAGAACTGACACTGTTATGTGTTGTTGTAAGGAAAATTCCCTTTCCTACCTTCGCGTCCCTGCTCAGCGCGTACACCACTGACAGCACCCCACAATATTCCGTTACCACTCGCGACATTCGCCTCGACACCATTCCCGCCACTTTTCACGATGCGACCCAACCTCACGGTTCGGTTGGTAACCCGCGCTCCGGACCTCCACCTCGACAGTCCCCAACCTCTGCACCAGGGCTGACTTTTCAAATTTAGGTACCCTGATTTCAACCTAAACAAAAAAAAATTACCCTGAAGGCACATTTTCCAGAAAAACAGCACCCTGATTGCTCAGGGTTGAGAAGTAGTGAACTCTGAATGTTCAGGGTCGAGAATTGAAAATCAGGGTCGTAGTAACGCGCTCTTTCTTTACCGAGGACAGAAGTCTCACTCACTCAGGACATCTGTGGCGATGTGACTGGCGCTGTGTTAGAGCACATCTATTTCGACCAATAACAACAACCTAAAATATGACATCACAGATTCGCCCGATCTAGATGGTGGTGGGTGTATGGGAACGAAACTTCGAAGAAACTTCGTCTCGATAAAGTGAAAGGGGGGGGGGGGGGGGGGGGGGGGGGAGAGGATTACGCACGTGGGGGGCACTGAAATCAATGCGAAGGGGTTATCAGGAGGAAATTTCCGAGAAACTTCGCCACGATAACATCGCATTCAGGGTCCACAGGCCTCGTACTCTGTATTGACAGGGTCCGTGAAAACCCTACACTGAGAGTGTACACAAAATTTCAGGGTCCGCTAAAGCAATACTCTGAATGGATCAGGGACCAAAATGTGAAAAACCTGATTTCTCAGGGTCCAGAAAGTGACAAGTCTGAAATCACCCTGAAATCAGGGTAATTACCCTGATAAAATCAGCCCTGGCACCAGGCCCGTTGCGCACCCCAATTTCCCACGTTACTGTTACCACCGTAGCTTCGCTATATATTCTTCGCTCAATCTTTCGCTCATTGTATCTTGTCTCGATAGTGCAATCCTCGCTCGCTCACTCAATTGCACTCGTAACATTTGGTTATCATAGCCTACGATCTTCTCCCGGACCGCACCCACACCTTCGCTTCCCCACTATCTCAAATTTTTGGGGGGGTAGACGTCTCTCAGCGACCAAGCACCGCCGCTCATAGTGCTCTCTCGTAAGCACGCACGGCCACGACAGAGGCTCTCGCTGAGCTTGCCCGACACCCCCGCCATGGCAGAACTTAAATGTCGCGACACTGACACAGGAGCAGCTAGACCGGCTCATCCGCCAACTCGAAGAATCGGCGCTTGAAATCGCCACACTCACGGCGGAACGCGATTCCGCTCGCCAACAATCGACAGTGAATGCACCAGCACCAACAAACGCACCTGCACACTCCGAGGAGCCGATCGTTATCTCCTCCGGCACACCGACACAGAACGACAGCGTGGGACAGCGCTCAGGCGTAGCCAGTGAGGGCGCCGCTCAATCAATGCCTGGCATGGAGCGAAACAGAGTCACACCAAGCCCACGGGAGCCCCGCGAAGCCCGTCGGCACGTGGAATTTGCAGCGACAAGTGGCGAGTACGCCATCACGGCACCAATGCCACTCAAGCCGCAGCGTCCGCCCTGTTTCGACCCAAGCCAACGTGGGGGTCCGACGGTTCAGTCGTGGGTCTTCAAGATGAACGTATTCTTCGACGCGAACTATGTCGAGTCGGACGCAGCGAAGATTCGTTACGCTGTTTCACTGCTGAGGGGCCCTGCCATGGACTGGTGGCGTGTCATCGTGACGTTGCCACGCGCCTACGAGCCACCGTCGCAAGAAAACGGGCCCACGGGCCCAGTCGTCACTGGAGTTCATTCTACGAGACAGCCCAGTACAGCACGTGGGATGCGTGGTGCGCAGGGCTTCGGGCGCGTTTTAAGCCGATCGTGGCTTCGATTTCAGCGCGTCAAAAAATACGCACTTGGCGGCAGCTCGGATCGGTTCAAGACTACACGAGCGGATTTCTGGCATTATGCGAGCAAGTCGGCTATATGCACGAAGCGGAGCGGGTAGACCGTTACGTCGGAGGGCTAAAGCCGGACATCTCGCACGAAATTATGCTACGCGGGCTCTCGAATTTCAATGAGATCCTCGCGCTCGCCGAGAAAATCGACATCCTACGACGACCGAGACCGGGGTCCTACTACGGACAACGTCCTCGGGGACCGATCGAGCACGCCACCGTACACGCCGTTGCAACAAATGCAGCTGCCGCACCGTTTAAGGGGCGCTGCTTTGCTTGCAATAGGCCGGGCCATCGCAAGAATGAATGCCCAGAGGAGCTGAGGCGCCGCGGAACAGAGCAGGGGCGAGATTCTCAGAGGCCGGGAAACGCCAGCAGTCAGTAGAAGTTGGGCCAACTACTGACGAGACTGGCTCCTCGCCCAACTTCACCGACCCTCACCGAGTCACAGTACCGATTCACGCTATCGATCGGGCTCGGACGAATAAGGAGGGTACAGCGACGGATTGCCCAGTACTGATTCACGGGAAAATACAGGGAGCAGCAGTGAAGATTTTTATCGACGGAGGCGCAAGTCACAGCTTAGTCAACACTGCGACTGCAAGGAAGTTGCGACTGGCACTTAGTCGGTGTTTACCGAAGATCGATGCACGTTTAGTTGACGGAACGCCGCTGGCCATACGGGAAAAAGTGGAGAGAGTAAAATTCCGCTGTGGGGGAAACTTCGGATTTACACAGGAAATGCTCGTGACGACATTGGATGGGCACGACATTTTACTAGGACGTGATTGGCTACGACGGTACAACCTGCGAATCGACCGGACGACGGGTAGCTGCACTGTGCGAAGTAGTGGTAACTGGGTCGAACTACCTCGCTAGCAGTCGCCTGAGTCTTCAACGGTCCACGTCAACGCCATCACGATGAAACGGGCTGTCGCCGCTGGAGCTGATGTGTACGCGGTGGATATCCCAATCGTGGAAGAATCGGATAAAACGAGTGATTTTCAGAAACTACTGGCGGCAGTACCATCGGAGCTACAGGAACTGCTGAAACGGTTCCCGGGGATCTTCCCCGATGATTTACTGGAGGGTCTGCCACCTCAGCGAGCGCATGATCACCGAATAAAATTAGAGCCCGGGGCACAGCCAACCGTACAGCGACAGTTCAGACTGACACAGCACGAGCTCGACGAGATACGGAAGCAGTTAGTGTGAGAAGGATTTGACGAAAGAATGATTGAATTAGGAAATGAGAAGGGTACAAGTAGGAAACACATAATTGTTGTACCCTCTAAGGACTACCCCACTACAGCCTAGACCGACTATAGTAAATATATGTTTGACACACCCCCATAGGCAAAGTGGGGGAGAACAAGGGGTCACAAGACCAGTCAAGAAAGACAAAGCAAACTCAGGGTGGATCACAAAGTCACCACACAGTCCGAGCACAAGCAAAGGGCCAGAAGGCCAGTTCACATGCAGAGTTATATATAAAGGAAAGCAAACAATACAGTGAACACAACCTAGCAAGTGTAAGCATGCAGGTATAAGTATATAGAGTACAGTACAAGCAGAGTCAAGAAGTCAACAAGTGAGGCACAGTAGGTACAAGGCCTAACACAGTATAGAAACGCTGATGATCACAAGGCTGAAGTGCCTTGGTGAAGACATCAGCAGTGTTGGCCTGAGAGGCCACGTAAGCAAGACGAACCTGGCCACGCTGCTGCAACTCTCGAGCAAGGAAGTAGCGCAGAGCAATGTGCTTCGTTCTGTGCTCCAGTCTGTGCTCCTGACACAAGGCCAGCATGGCCTTGTTGTCGACATACAGAACTGGAGGAGAACGAGGCGCCTCTCCCAAGTCGGTCAGCAGGTAGGTGAGCCAGCGAAGCTCCTGTGCAGCCATGGCCCCAGCGTAGATCTCAGACTCACAACTGGAGCTGAGAACAGAAGAAGAGCGGGTAGACCGCCAGGAGACAGAACCGGAGCCAAGGCTGAAGGTGTAACCCTGTGACGACCGCTGCGTAGCCAAGTCGTCAACCCAGGAGGCGTCAGCGTGACCAGTGAGGACAACTCGAGCCCGTCCTCCAAGCACGAGCCCCATGCCCGATGTACTGCACAAGTATCGCAACACCCTCTTCGCAGCATCCCAGTGCACCTTTCGGTGCCTGTCGGGAGCCACGTAACGAGCCAGAAGGCTGAGAGGGTATGCGAGGTCAGGTCGTGTGCAAGTCATCAGGTACATGAGGCAGCCCACGAGCTCTGGATACGGGCCACTCGGCTCTACGGACTCGTCCGAAGGTGGAGCTGAGAGCGAGTGACCGGTAGGCAGAGGAGTGGACTGTGGCGAGGAGTAGGTGAAGCCGAAGCGCTGAAGGACCTGCTGCACCATGTGTGACTGAGTCAAGGTAATGGTGCACTGTGCTCTGTCCCGGGTGATCCGCAAGCCAAGATAGCTTGTGAGCTCACCCAGGTCTGTGCACGTGTGTCTCTTCTGCAGCTCGGACTTCACGTGGGCGAGTGCCTCCGTGTCAGCAGTAGCAAAGACAAGGTCGTCT